GGACATTAAAGAAAAATGATATGGTTCTTACATTTCCAGGAGATGAGATCAGAGCCTTCCTGGGGTTGGGATCCAGACAGCCCAGGGTGCCCGCCACCTCCCTAGCTGAGCCATTGCCACTTCCGCAGTTGGATTTTGTTGTCTGTGAGGATACAGAGGATTTGGTGAGATATTTGTAAACGAGAGGCTCTTTTCCCAGTCTGTAAAGACTGATGAAAATGTCAGCTCTTCAGGTCTCTCAAACAGGAAGCATCTGAAACTTGCGTTCGGCAGGTTGGGTCTTTAATCAGTCCTGAAACTGGATTGCAGGCTGGCGTCAACTTGCTTTCTCTTTTCTTATCGGTTTGGATCTTTTTACAGCCAGACTCTCTTCTTCCAGCTAAAACCTGCTGTGCAGTGAACTTCAGAGGACGGAGATAGAGGTTGTTGTGTTTTTTTTGTTTTAGTTTTTTTTTTTGCTTTTGATATTTTATTTTGAAATAATTTAAGAGGCATTGAAATGTTGCCGAGACAGTACAAAGAGTTCTCATACCTTCCAGCCACGTTGCCCTGATACTAACGCCTAACGTAACTGCGGAAGGATGACCTGAAGTAATAACAACAGATTTTATTAGGATCCCACTGGTTGTCCCTCTCAGCCCCTTTTCTGCCCAGGACCCAACCCAGGACCACATGGTGCAGGCGTCAGGCTCCTTAGGCTCTTCTGGACTGGGGCTGTGTCTCAGTCTTTCCTTGTGTGTCGTGACCTTGACACTTCCGGAGAGCACTGGTGGGGGATTTTGTAGCGTCCCTCTCCTTGGCTTTGTTTCTCATGGTGACACGAAGGTTATGCATTTGAGGGAGGCTGCCCCAGGGCAATGTGCTGATGTGTCTCTTTGCCTGTGGGGTCAACCTTCACCCCTCGGTTAAGGTGGCACCTGCTTGGAGTCTCTGCCGGAAGGTTGCAGGTTCTTCCTCTGGGACCTCGCGACAGCACACCTGCTTCTCATAAACATTTGCCTGTCAGTTTCAGCGTCTGCGGTGGATCTTTCCTGCAGCAGGGATTACCGTACAGATCTCACGGCGCATTTATGTTGCCTTCACTCCGTCTGCATTATGATCTAGAATTTTTTGTGGAAGAGAGCTATCCCTTCTCCCCCACTTCCGTTACATTTTGACTCTCACACCAGTGAGGGCCAGCGTGTGTTTATGGCACTCTGTGGGTTTATAGTCGGGCCTGTCACTTCCACTTGTTGGCCTCGCTGTCCTCGCTTTGGTCGTCCGGTGCCCCTTCACGGCGCTCACGTCCTCCTGGGAGTCCCCATCTTCTATGAGTATTTCCACCCTCCCTGCTCCCACGAGGGGCTCCAGCTCACCTTGGGAGCAGCGGGGAGCAGGCCGAGTTGGGTGCTGAGCCCTCCTGGATCAGATAACATACACAGGCGAGGAGGGCTCCCTGCCTTTGTGGGCAGAAGCTGCCCGTCAGCTCTCTGCCTCTCGGACCCCGGGCCCAGCTCCCGGGCCACCGTGGGCGGTGTGGGTGGACCCATCCCGAGGGCTAGCCCTAGGTGGCCCAGAGCTGATAGGACCAGGGGCCCAGCTACCCCTGCCCGGGGTGGGGAGGCTAGGCCTGTGGGGTCCCACCGGTACCAGCAGCCGGTGGCAGTTCCTGGTGCCTCAGCGTGTGGAGACAGCTGGCTCTTCCCCCTGTTCCTGCTGCTTCTTCCCGGCCCACCTGCCTGCCTTTTGCAGAGGGTGGAGGAGCCATCAGCGTCTGCGGGGCGGGCACCTCGGAAGAGCGACATCATCCGACTGTCAGACGGCGCCTTTTTAAAGGAGAAATGGTCAGAGTGTGCCTCTTTGGGGTGGTGCTGTCTGAGGCCTTGGGTCGCCGCTCAGTCTGTCCCCTCAGTGCAGCTGGACGCCTCCTGCCCACCCCGAGTTCTCTTCTCGGCGCCTGGCTTTCCTGGGAACCGCTACCAGGCCAGCGGCCCAGCCTTGCCAGCCTGGGCAGCAGGAGGCACCAGGGCCTTTCTGTTTTGTTTTCCTTTTAAAAATTACATAGACTTTATCGTTGTAGATTTATAGAGAAATTGAGAGCTCTAGGGAGAGTTCCCTACCCCCCTGACCCCGACACCCAGTCTCCCGTTATTCCGTTTTACATGAGGCAGATTCGTTTGTTGCAATCAGTGAATCTTATGAGTACATTCTCGTTGACTAGGGTCCTGCTTCATTCCGTTTGCCTTGTTTGCCCCTGTTGTCCTCTTCTGTCCCAGGACCCCATCTGGGACCCCCGTGACATTCAGGTGTCTCGTCTCCTCGGGCTCCTCTGGGCTGTGATGGTTCCTCAGACTTTCCTTGTTCTCGATGCCCTTGACGGGTTTGAGGAGGGCTGTGGCCAGAGATTTTGTAGAATCTCCCTCAGTAGGAGCTTGTCTGCTGTTTTTCTTACGGTTACATTGGGGCACTGGGTGCTGGGAGGAGGACCACCTGTGAAGGGCCGTCTCATCCTTCATCTCGGGGTGCCTGCCGTCAACGTGACTCATCACTGCTGGTGTTGACCTCGGTCCCCTGGCTGAGGTCGTGCTGCTCAGATGTCTCCACTGGAAGGTCACACCTCCCCCCTTTCCATACTGTCCCTCTTGAAAGGAAGTCACTGTGCCCAGCCCACACTTAAGGGCCCCCTGATGCCTCAGCCCTGGCTGCCCTGTGCCAAGTGGGCTGTGGCCAGGCCCCTGGTGTCTCAGGGCCTCCAGGGTGGTGACAGGCTGGCTACGGGGAGCCCTCAGTCCTTGCGGGAGCAGGGGAGGCGGGTGAACCTAGCCCCGCGTGGACATAGGTCAGGGTGGACAGAGGCCTTGCCTTGGCTGTGGCCTGAGGGCTGAGCCTTAACCTCAACCCCAGAGCTTCCAGCCTCCTATTTTGGGGTCAATGCTGTCATCCCCCAGAGCACGAGGGCAGGAGGACCCCGCAGCCATGGGCAGCAGCAGACTGGGGTCTGTCCAGCCGAGGACCACAGGCTCGGGTGGCCTTTGCCTTGCAGCCCACGTGCTGTGCGTGGGGTGGCCCATCGTCCACCTGGGGAGACAGTGTGCAAAGAGGTAGTGACAAGTGACCAGGGAGACACATGACCCCATCAGATGTGAGTGAAAGTCAGGCCAGCTATTCTCAGCGGGGAGGCCTGTGGGCAGTGGGGGTGAGAAGGTCCTTCTCCTCTGTCATCGGGTGATGTACGTGGAAGCCGCCGGATCAGTCTCCCTTTGCTGCGGTAACAAACGACCACAGACTCAGTGACTTAAAACAATGCGCGTTTATCATCTCACCGCCCTGGCCGCCAGAAGTCCGACATGGGTCTCACTGGGCTAGGATCAAGGTGTGGGCAGGGCTGACTGATCCTCTGGAGGCGCCAGGGAAGAATCGGTTCTTCGCCATTTCCGGCTTCTAGAGGCGCCGCACCCTCGGCTGGTGGCCCCTCCTCTGTCTTCAGAGCACATTGCTCTGACCTCTGCCTCTGTCATCAGTTCTTCTCTGACTCTCACCCTCTCGCCTCCCTCTTAGAAGGACTCTGGCGATGACACTGGGCCCCCTGATAATGCAGGATCATCTTCCATCTCGAGATCCTTAACTTGGACTTCCCAGCGGTCCAGCGGATAAGACTCCGCACTTCCAATGCAGGGGGCCGGGTTTGATCCCTGGTCGGGAAGCTAAGATCCCACGTGCGGCGCGACCAAAAAAAAGAAGAAAAAAGATGTAAAAAAAACCATCCTTAACTTCATCCCATCTGCAGTCTTTTGTCACCAAGGAGAGCATAGTCACAGCTCCCGGGGATTAGGATGGGGACATCCTTGGGGGCCATTGTTCCACCAGCCACAGCCATGTGGAGACATGCCAGATTAATTGAACCCCCAGAATTCTGCTCTCGTCGCTGTCAGGGGCTGGCGGGGCTGCGGAGCAGGGTAGGTGGCAGCGGCCGAGGAGCCCTTGGGACTACATGTGGCCCTGGGCGGCTTAGCTGGTCCAGAGGAAGAGGCGAATGCCCGAGGGCCAGTCATTCCACAGCTCAGTGTGGCCTTTCAGCCTGGGGGCTGGCACCTGTTAGAAGACAGTGAAATCAACGTAGTGGGTTGTGCCCAGTAATTTTAAAAACCTGATTAAAAAAAAAGGTAGAAAAGGTCAGCACACGTTGCCTGTTTTTGGGACTCGTGCTATTTAGAGCTCCTGGTGAGTTAGGGAAGGTGTGCAGGACCAAGTTCCACACCCCCAGGGCACCCTGTCTGAGCTGCCCTGCAGCCAGGTCCGCCCCCAGCAGCTAGTCCAGCTTTAGGCAGCATGTGCAAAGGCACAGGGGCAGGGAGGGTCCGGCAGACGCCGAGCTGTCAGCTCAGCTCAGGTGTGCGGGAGGTAGGGGCGGGGAGCCCAGTGAGTCGGGGCAGCTGGAGCCCAGATTGTCAGAGGCCCTGGGGCCACACCCCACGTTTAGAGTCTTGTCCTGTGTCCATTCAGCAAGTGACCCTGAGCCTGGCTGTGAATGCCGTGGTGGGGACCCTGCCCCCCCGTGGGGTCTCAGCTGCACGGCGCCTGCCACGCTCTGCCCTGTGCTCTCTGCCCCCCGGGAGTGTAGATGGCGGTCACCACGCAGCAGTTCCTGTCCGACTGTCCTCCTTGGAGCGGCACCTTCCCTGCCTGCAGGGGGGTTCGGAAGAGGCAGAACTTCCTGTAAACCTCCCAGGAGTGCCTGTACCTTAAGGTTTCCAGAAGCATCATTGGTCTGATTTGATTGTGTTTGGAGGCTCTTGCTTCCTCAGCTACCGATGTTTAGGAGCTGAGAGCTTAAAATGGGCCATCGCTGGAAGCCTTTAGTGGGGTGGGTGCTCATGGTTGTGGATTTTCATGTTCTTGGAAACATCGCAACAGAGGCAGGCATCCCTGGGCTGCACACTGCTGCTAGGAATGTAATTTGGAGTTAAGACTTAATCAGGCCATCGTTTTAGTTAATCGTGCTTTTGTTTTGCACATTTTAGGAACCATCGCTATTGCTGGAACCTGACAGAAACCCTAACAGAAGCCGGTTATTGGATCATCTCCCTGCAGCCTCACTCCCCACTGTGTACCAGGAACCTTGCAGTAAGTACATGTGCGGGCCCCCGGCCCCAGGGCTGCTGGTGGAGAAGGCGGCCCTGTTTGGTTCTGAGCTCCTGGGGTGTCCAGGGGCCAGATGCCTCTAGAGGAGCCTGGACCCCTCAGCGTGGCTGTGCTGGATGTGCCTTCTCTCCGCGTCTGCACTCTGGCCCCTCAGCATCTGAACACCTGTCCCTCACTTCTAGAAGCCCTGAGAACCATAGTGGGTTTGGGGGGACTCCAGGATGGCCCAGGATGAGCTGCCCTATCTGTGTCGTGTCCCTGGGCAGGACACCACTTCTGGCTTCAGAAGTGGTGTTCACCCCAGGGGGCATGTTCACCCCACCTCACACCCTGTGGGAGATGATGACCAGTCACAGGGAGAGGGGAGGGTCTTCAAAAATGGAGGATTATTATTATTATTTTTAAAAATTAATTAGTTAATTATTTTTGGTTGCATTGGGTCTTCGTTGCTGCGTGTGGGCTTTCTCTAATTGAGGCGAGCGGGGCCTACTCTTCGTTGCGGTGCGCGGGCTTCTCACTGCGGTGGCTTCTTGTTGCGGAGCACGGGCTGTAGGTGTGCGGGCTTCAGTAGTTGTGGCTCGTGGGCTCCAGTAGTTGTGGCTCACGGGCTTAGTTGCTCCGTGGCATGTGAGATCTTCCCGGACCAGGGTTTGAACCCGTGTCCCCTGCATTGGCAGGCGGGTTCTTAACCACTGCGTCACCAGGGAGACCCTAGAGGATTATTTTTCAATGCTTTGAAAAGAATCCCATGACCCAGCTGCTTCTGGGTTTCAGCTCCAGGGTGTCCCCCTTCTCCTGGACTTTTCTAATTAAGCAGGGACAGAGGGTTCACAGAGGTGGCCTCTGGAGGTGGCCCAAGGGGGGTCACTGGTAAGAAAACAGGGAGCAGCCTGAGCCCCTCATGGCTGGCACCCACGGGCAGGGGCACCCAGGTGGAGGGGCGCTCAGCATGGGACAAGCAGTTCCCGTGCTCCTGGCCACAGCGAGGAGAGCTGGCTGAACGAGAAGGGCTTGTGTTCAGTGTTGACTTTGGGCGAAGCCTCCTCCCAAGGCCACGTGGCTAATGAGGGCTCAGTGTGGACTAGAACGTGACCTTGTCTGTTCTGCCATGATTTAGAAACCCAGGAATTGGGCCGTGGAGCTCAGGTTCCCCTTTACAAGCGGTGGAGTGCAGGGTTTGTTCCTTAAAGGGGAGATTTCAGGCATCTGGGTCCGGGGCCGGCAAACTGCGGCCCGAGGACCACTCGGCCCACTCGGCCTATTGTGTGTTCTTGTAAATAAAGCCTTATCGGCGCACAGCTGCTTCTGTTCACTTGCGCCTTCCTCCTCACGGTGGTGGAATTGCGTGGTTGTGACAGAGGCCGCGTGCCTGCAAAGCTGCAAATGTTTACCGTGTGGTCCTGCACAGAGAAGGTGGGCCGTCCCCAGTCCCTGCCAGCTTGTCACTGTCTGGGGCTGGGTGGACCAGGTCCTCGTCGACTGGTTTAGAAATGGTCAGTTCTGACTGTGTGTCCCAAAGCGTTGCTTTACCCTTAAAGCTTATGCTTTCTTACAAGACCGTCAAGTCCCTGAAACTCGGTTATCCTCTCTGTATCCCCATCTGCACGACACATTCTGCGTACGTAGCTCGCCCTGTGCGGTTAACTTTTTAGTAATCCCTCACAAGGATGCTAGTCATCTCCCTCTGTCAACCCATTTTATAGCTGGAGAGACTGAGCACCAGCCCTGAAAGGCGTGAGAATGTTCTGGGCTGGGGGAAGAGTGGGAGGTGGAAATGAGTGAGGCCACGGGCACCTTCCCCAAAAGGCCTCGGGCGTTCGCGGAGATCAGGGTGCTCGTGACAGATGGGACAGGTTGACTGCGGTCTGGCAGGTGCCAAACAGGCTGCCTTGGACTTCAAAAAAATTAAGTTTTATAGAGATGTAATTACATGCCATAATGGTCACACCTCCAAGTATACAATTCAGGGAATTCCCTGGCGGTCCAGTGGTTAGGACTCCGCACTTTCACTGCCATGGGCACAGGTTCAATCCCTGGTCAGGGAACTAAGATCTCACAAGCCATACAATGGAGTGGACTAATTAATTAATTAAAATAAAGCATGCAATTTAGTGGTTTTTAGTACGTTCACAGAGCTGTGCTGCCACCCCACCATCTAACTCCATCTAACTCCAGAACACCGTTATCAACTCCCCAGAACCACTGTACGTTCAGCAGGCACTCCCTCTCCCTCCCTCAGGCCCTGACAACCAGGAATCCACTCTCTGTGTCTGTGGATCGGCCTGTTCTGGACGTTTCCCATCATTGGAATCACACGCTGTATGTCCTCCTCCGTCTGGCTTCTCTCACCGAGCATTGTGTTCTCAGGCTCCATCCACGTTGCAGTGAGTGTCAGTGCTTCTCTCCTTTTCATGGCTGAGTGATGTGCCCGTGTGTGGAGGGACCACATTTGGTGTATCTGTCATCCGTAGATGGGCAGTCGTGTTGTCTCCGCTTTTGGGGTTTTATGAATGACGCTGCCGTGAACGTTCAGGTGTCTTGGTGGACGACACCTAGGGGTGGGATGGCTGGGTCAGATGGTGGCTCCATGCTTCGCCTTTCATGCTCCTGGCCCCCGTGGTTGGGTTCCTGTGAGTGTGAAGAAGCCTCTCCCAGCAGGTCCCGCTCCACCCTGTCTCGTTAGGAGCAGGATCTGAGCTGGAGACATGCGGGTTCAGTTCCAAGCAGAATAGCTCCACGCGGGAGGGAGAGTGCAGGCCGCCCCAGGCCGTGGGTGGGCTTCTCACCCAGCCTTCTTCCTGCCCCGAGCCCTCCTGGCTCTTTGCTTTTTCGCTCATTTACTTCATTGTAAGGATTTCTTCCTCCTCAACATATTGCTTGGCCTGTTTTCTCAGGTCTGGTAGCTTTTTCCTGCCTTTTTTTTTGTGTGTGTGAAAAAAGCACCCAGTTTTGCATCTGTGAGCACAGACAGGTGATGTCTCCGGGCTAATAAAAGATGCCCCTGTCATGGGCTGTGGGCGGCCCCGCCGTGGGCACTTCCTCCGGGAGGGTTGTGACAGAGAGAGCTTTTTTCTTTAAAGTTCAAAGGTATACTAAAGATCAAGAGAAGAAGGTGGCCTCAGCGCCGGTTTTTAGGAGGAGAGGCGTGATAAATGTTCCTCGTTTGCCTCCGTCTGTTTTGAGCAAGGCCCCCGACCACGGGGGACAAGTTGCTATTTATTCATTCATTCTCTCTCTGCAGTTTGGGGGGTACCTAGGTGGAAGGATTGGGTGTTGAACCAGGACACTGTCATTTTAGAGTCACGCGAGGTTGTGACTCAGACCACGATATTCACGGGACTTTGCCCCATGTGGCTTCTTGAGGCTTCTGTGGCCAGCGCTGTTGGCCCTGCGGCATCTTCCAAAAGCGTGGCCCTGATCGTCGTGGTCCCCAGGTGTCGCACACTTGCTCTGGGATTAGTGAAGGGGCTCTGGCAGTGTGAGGGGATTGGGCTGAGCCGGGCCCCTGGGGATTCCCAGGGCCTGCCCTTCCCATGCCCAGGCCTCCTGGGGATGGGGCTCCCGGGGGCTCCCCAGGCCATCATGCAACCCAGCTTGTGGTTCACGCCTCCTGGCTCCTCCCCACAGCTCGGCCGAGTGTCTTGGGGGCTGACGAGGTGTGAGCATTGGCACCAACGTGAAGATGCAGGCCAAGGTTGTCTGGGGTGCGAGCGGCCAGAAAGGGCTCCTTCGGCATCACTGGGGCCTCTGGCTGTGCCCATGAGTCAGCTCTGCAGCCAGAGGGTGGCTCCAGGCTCTGTGCTCTGGAGCGCTATGCATGTCTGAGTCGTGGGGAGGACGTGGGGGTCATGTTGCAGCCCACTGGGTATCGCTTGGTCCCCTTCGTCCTCTTCTCGAAACTGTGCTTTTGTCTGAGCGACTAGGCAGATGTGCTTGTCTTTCCAGGACGCATCTCATAGCAGCGGTCCCCTGTGGGAGGGGCATGGTGACTGTTACTTATCTCTTTGTGTGATGGATTTTTCACGTGGCTTTTGAGGCAGAGGGAATAGCGCTCCTTGAGGTGCCCACACCCTAATTGTGGAACCTGTGAAGATGCTCCCTGACATGAGAGGGACTCTGCAGCCTGGATGAAGTTAAAGATCTGGAGATGGGTGCTCACCCTGGATTAGCCAGGCGGTCCAATGTCATCACAGGGGTCCTTCTAAGAGGGAGGCAGGGGAGTCAGAGTCAGAGAAGGGGTTGTGGTGATGGAAGCAGTGGTCAGAGAAGAGAGGCAGAGAGAGACCGGAGATGCTGTGAGTATGCAGGAAGGGGCCTCGAGCCAGGGATGCGGTGCCTCTAGAAGCTGGAAAAGGCAGGAAACCTCCAGAAAGAGCACAGCCCACTTGAGATCCGGGAGGGACTCCTGGCCTCCAGAACTCGGAGATAAAGTTGTGCTGTTTCAGCCACTAGGTTTGTGGAGATTCTTTCGGCAGCAGTAGGGAACCAACGTGCAGGGCTGCGGGCGATTCTTCCTTTGTGCCTTTCGGAGTTGGCGTTGCTCAGATAAATGTTAGCATGGTCCTGGCCTTGTGCGCGGGGCTACCCATCCACTCCCCCCCGTGCACACACAGCCCCGTCCGGCCAAGCTGCCTTCCTCACATCTCTTGTCCTCACATTTCTCAGTTGGCCCTTCTGACCTTGGCCTCCCGCCTTCCTGGGTCTGGGCTCTCTGCCTGCTTTGTCCCTCTCGTCACTGTGGCTGTTTCAGTCCAGCCAGTTCCATGGGGTAGAGCCAGATCAAGGCTGGCATCCTTGCGTCCTTCGCGGGCTGCTCCTGGAGCCTGTGCTCCGCCCCCGGCCCGGGCTCTCCTGCTCCGTGGGGCCAGCACGATGACACCCCCCCCCCGCAACGCCGATCTGGCTCCACAGGCCAGGGGGCAGGGGGGACAAAGTGTTCTCTGACACTGGGGCTGGCGGGTACGGTGGGGCAGCACTAGTTGCCCC